CATGAGGCTTATGTAACCTCAATGAAACGAGACGTGGAGGGAACGTTGTCGGACTCGAGACAATCATTGACACGTCGTGGGAATACAGAAGGAACGCCTGACACGACAGTTTCGATCCGAGGACGAATTCCCGGATGATTGAATCCCGATGAAACGAAAGGACGACATCGACGTGGCTCCTAGTCGCCTTAAAATTAGATTTATTCCAATCAGACTGTATCTTGCGTAACGAATTAATACATTTTAGTAGCATCCAAAACACGCGAATATCGTACGGAAGTTATCAAAAGGAAACGGAAGAGGAAGCGCTGAAAAACAATATGGCCGCCGCGGGCTCTATATATGAACCCCATCGAGCCGCTATGAATGCATTTCTCGGAATATCCGCGGATGGAAAAGTAGTTTTTGGATGAAAGAAAGGTGGCACGAGCGAACATAGCGATTCTTTGTCGTTGGCGAGTACCTGGAAGCGTCTAGAAGGGGCGAGCGAAACGCAACACCTCCATTTTGCAACACTGGCAGCGTTTTCCATCCAGACGAAACAGGCCTGGCCTGGTGTTGTGATACCCCAGCCCGGGGTTCTGATACACGTCCGAGACGGCTCGTTGGAAAAAACAATGAGCACAGCCACAACAGGACGCGCATTCACGCACACGAGCGTCACAGGACACGCTGATACCATGGCGACGGTCTGTCGGTGTGCCTGAACCAGACAAGGTCATTCATAAGTAGCTCAAGTTCAACTAATAGTATTGTATTACGATACCTACGGCCCTCTTCCTTCTTCCTTCCCTCTTTGTCGACCGTTCCGCGTCGTTCCCTCTCCCTTCCTCTCGCGGTGAACGCTGCGTTCGCACGAGCGAACAATGCCTGGCGATCAGGCACGTTAACTAATTATTGTTCGCTCTCTACGATTTTCGTGACCGCTAACCGTGCTCGAAGACCCGCGAAACTCTGCCCGAAGGTCACCACGGACGCTCAAATCGGACGATAGGTATCTCGAATCGCATCGTCGGCTTCGAAATGGCGGAGACTACGAAGTTTCGAAGCTTAGAACACTCGAATATCTTGAGTATCGAGGGTATCCATAGATCTGTTTAGGGAGTGTCAAGAATTTAGCAGTTCTCGAAAAAAGAAGCGTCAAATTTATTTATTTTCGTTATTTAGTGATATTTTTACAGTTGAGGTAGAGAGCTTATAGATATCGAAACTTATGAATTGTAAATCTGATTTAGACTAGATCAAAGTATTACAGAACAAATTTCCAGTTTAAATTAATGTAACATTGTATCTATAATACATAATATTTGGACTTGTGGAGATTTTTAAGAGTCCTAGGTTTAAGGTGCGTCGAAAGATCGTTTTCTGGTGGAAAATAAAAAGAACTTGCACCCTTGGTATTGGTTGGCGTTTCTAGGGTTAAGAACCACTGGTGCACGCTATGGTTCCTTAGCATTCGCGTGCATTTAGATCGAATCTCCGTGAATCTACGGCACACGAGCGCATCCGGACAACCGGGCTTATAAAATTATTGCGAAAGATCGTCGCCGAAGATCGCCACTGTAAAAGCACGCGAGAACTAATGCCCCTATAGAGAGGAGACAGCCGAATATCGACGATGGCGATGCAGCACACGCGCGCACGACCGTGTACGGGATAAATTATCGCGAGCTTTATTAAAACACCCTCGATACGATCGATAGCGCGGGAAATACGAATCCGTGGATGCCAGCAATCCACGCGAATATTACGAATTATTTTCCTATTGTTCTCCTACGAACGGCGTTAGCGATTTAGACACCTAGCAAGTACAAAAGGACGAAGATCCTTCCACCGTTTGTTAGAAAATAAACTCTCGTTTTGTGATTACACGCCCGGTCCTTTTATAACATTCTGAAAACACCTCTGATTTATATTATTTCGAAGTTTCACTCAACACGAGACGAATTAACCGCGTCATGTTGACTGTTCAAATACTTGGAGCACTTTATTCTTGAGGCGAATTCTCGTTGAAGAGAGGTTTACGACCCTGTTTACGGGATCCTTGCTGCTGGTGGAAAGCTAACAGAGAAAAGAACGCGGTTTCGCGAAAGCGTTGAGCAAATTCAGGTTCTTAGGTTTCCTCGACGTTCTATTTGTCTGCACGCTATTACAATCGGCGAAAAAAAAATTTCAAATCGTTCTGGAAAAATTATTTTCAGTTGCAGGAGTCAATTACAATCATTTTTGGTGAATAGACGTATCCCCGAAATCCTACGCACTTTCGAGAAAAAAATTCAGGAAGGTGCTGAAATTTTTCGGCGAAAATAAAAATTTCAAATCGTTCTGGAAAAATTATTTTCAGTTGCAGGCGTCAATTACAATCATTTTTGGTGGATACGCATATCCCCGAAATCCTAACCATTTTCGAGAAAAAAATTCTTTACCGAAAATATTATATAATGTGTGGCTAGAAATATTTCTGTAATCTCACTTCCTCTTGTGTCCATTTCTGTAATCTGTCGATAATATTGCGAAAAATGGGCCGACAGAATACATTGGATGTAAGGTGTACTGATATACCTCGTTTGTGATTATATTCTTCGTTTTTATCGCTTCACTTGTAGGCATAATCCAATTATCCAGCATAATTGATTTTCCGACATTGCCCCAGTCCCGAGCATGCCGGATAATCAGAATTTTACTGTGTACAGCGCGTCCGTCGAATCACGATGCATTTTCAACGGTTCGGTCTGCTTCTTTGCCCAATCGCGGAGTATTACAACGCGCGTTGGTCAACGTATGCAAATTGAAAATGAAAATGGAAGGCGTCTACGCACTTCCGGACAGATGTTAGGCCTTGTGCACATTGTGAGTTCCTCTCCTCGCGTCTATTGCTCTCCTTCCTGCTTTCTTGCCTTCCTTTCAGCGATCTCTTTCTTCCATTGTCTGCGCGGAAGAATAACAATGTCCACCGTGCTAACGGTTCGCTTGCATCAATAGAGCGTAACTTTTTTCGTCGATGAGTCTTCTCCGACGACAGTCCATGGAACCTGGAGTGCGAATGAAAATTGCTATGGACCGCGATCAAATAATTGTCACCAGGTCAACGATTGAAAATTGAGCAATTATCGAGTAACTCAATCACTACTCAATTATTTGTAATGGGCGGGTAAAATGATATGTCGGCGTTGACTTTAGCACTTTACGATTAGAGGAATGATAAAATAAATACACTTTTGGCGGGAAAAGACACGCCACAACTGCGCCCTCTAGTTACTCCCTATGATCGTTGCTACCAACTTCGTTACTTGGACTGGCTAGGTCATTTATTATCGCTTTCAACTCTCTATTTTCTTTCCCCATTTCTTTCTATTTGAGTAATGAGTCGTCGTCAGGGTTAGGCTCCACTCGATCATCTTTCTCTGCCCTAGAGACGTCGAGTTCGTTCTCATTTTTATTCTCATTTCCACTAATTTTTATATTTAGATAGGATCCTCCAAGAGTTTTATATCAAATTCTGGGCATGCTAGTTTCCAATCGTCCGAAGACAAGCAACGAGTTTCGTTTTCGCGAACAATCCGAGGGTTTTGATCCGCGAATGCGTTAAATTGTTACCCAGGCATGGAACGCGCCCCGGAAAAAGATAAATATGACTCCCGGTGTCCGGGGATATAATTGCGGTGCCCGAAAGGGCCTGACCCTCGAGAGTTCTCCCGGGTGATCCCATTCCGTCGTCGTCCAGCCACGGCGGTTTAATTTCGCGTTGACGTAGGTCCAGGGCTGCATTGTCTCTTGTTTCACGGTGTGCTCGCATGCGTAGCAGGTCGCGTTGCGAACCAGTCTTCGCGCGTGTACGTTCTTTGTTGGCCGGGCTCCATCCTCACGTGAAGTGGCCACGCACAAACGCGCAGCGTCGGCCGACGATCAGAGGGTGAAATTAAAAATACCGTGAAACCCTCCCTTATGCCTGGCTCTGCCTCGGCTCGTCTCTCTGTTTTCCTCTGACGCGTTCAGGGCCGTCGAGCACGAAAACGGAGCCCCGTTTCCTTTTTACCTGGTTCGATCGGGGCCACGACGGCGATTTATAGGGTATTTACCCTTCTATTTACGGCCACGATGGATACCGTTCCGATCGCGTCTCCATCCGACAACCATCACCGTCCGAGTACTTTTTAAAAAATTATCACGACCGTACTTGCGTTTTAAAGAAGGATACGAAAATGAAACGCGTCGTTCGTATTTTAACGATAGAATCGTTTATCGTAATCTCGTCGCTGGGTATTCTCACATATTTCCCGTATTTATAGAATGCCATGGCGCTGGTGATGTTATTGGCAACCACGGTAAAAGTTGTCTAGCGAGTTTTTGCGTTCACGATTCTGCATAGAATGGTATTGAATAATATGATTATATAAGATGTCGTAACAGTGGTGCATTTAATATCGGTGGAAAAAATTTGCCGTTTCACGATTGCTTCGAGGTTATATGATTTTTATATAGAAATTTCGTATAAAAACCGACACGATTTTGACACGATTCGGTCCACGGTTTCTATTTTTACCAATTTTTTTTTTCTGACCAGAGAAAACGACGTCGCTCGGCCATTTAAACGAACAACTGTTACGAATTGATAAAGTCCGCGATGTTTTCACGCGCGAATCGTTCGAGAGTCTCAGACTGGTCGACGGCGTGCCAGTTCGGCCGCGTATTCGTGGAAATTAATTTTCTAGCTTCGAAGAGAAATGCATGAATGTTAAGAGCAGCGTGCCCCGCGATCCTCGGGCAAACACGTTCCATTCCATTTCGAAAGATATTACGTTCCTGCCTCGTTTTCTCTTCGCGTCGAAAATTGCGAAAATTCGTTAGAACCAGTCTCGCGAGTTCGCCGGTCGATAAATAATCGTTCGATAAATGAAACCTTCGATGTCTGTGCGCGCGACACGCGTCGATGAAGGGTCGAAGAATGGCGAACACCTACCGAAAATTGGTCTGAAAGGGTGCGTGTTGGTGTGTTCCAGATGGTGGTGATAGTTGAGCATCCAGGGGAGGAGGGTGGCAGCAAGGCCCAGGGCGATGTGGCTTACAAGCGGGAAAGCTCGAGGAGGTGATAACGACTTCTGACCTCCCGTGAGAGACCCTACCGTGGCGGAGAGGGCCTTGCCATCGATCGTCAAGTAAAAGGCTCACCATTCAGAAGAAAACGAAGAAGAGAAGGCGGAAGAAGCAGCAGAAGAAGACGAAGAAGAAGAAACGACGACGGAGAAAAACGGTGAGACGAAGGAGGAAGAGAGGCGAGCTCTAGGGGATCGAGAAACACGCACTAGCTGGGAGAAAGGGTGGAGAAAAAGGGCAGGAGAACCTTGAAAAGTAGTCCCCTTACCCGCGGCTGTTTCGCCAAGACAAGACACATTCTCCCCAGCGGGATCGCTGCGTGTGCGTATCGCTCCTAACATTTTAAAACTTCTACCTTGAGAACATATACCTCGTACGAACAAGTACCTTCAAACTTAAACCTCTTTCGCAGCGCAATAGTGCCTAGGCCCCTCCGAAGAACGCAACTACAAATAATAAATAATAATACAAATAATATTATTAACGATAACGACGTTATCTATATATATATACACACACATATATATATATATATATATATACATACAGAGACACAAGCGAGACAAATTATTATTCGATACGATTAAGTGATCTATAGTCGCAAGAGAAGAGTTTAATTGTATTGTTCGGCCAGGAACAAAGTCACCTACGCGCAATCTGTGTGACCGTGTCATCTATATCTGTCTCTTTCTATATACATGTATATGCAAGAACGTTGTACAGGTCTCTTCGGATAAAAAGAGTATAAAGAGGAACCCCGTGACCTGCGATCAGCGCACGGACGCACCAGAAGAAACCGTTCGGTTTGTCGAGAGATTCGATCAGGAATTCTCGTTGATAACGTCACCATCCCCCCTCCCCCCTTCTTTCACCCCCAACACACCCCCTGCCCAACCCTGTCACGATTCCGCAAAACCTAACCATCCAATCTGTAACCGCCCCTCCGTTTAATCGATTCTACGAACCAGGACAGCAAAGTACCTGCAGACACAGATATATTTATAATAATAATTTATATAATAATAGCGATACCGAATAGTAATAGCACGACGTTAGCGATAACGGCTAAGGGCAAAGAGAATAATAATAGCAACTAATAGGATAGATCACTACGTAATAAGTGACGAGAAGAGGACGAAGGAGACAAAGCAAGGATCGTACAACAGAGTGTGAACGCTTAAATAATTCTATACGCGCTATGGTTAGAGTACTTCTACTTTGCGGTTAATCTACTCAGCGATTGCGGGGCCTGTTCTACATATATACGATCAAGGTACGTGCCGTTTCATTTTTCGTTTTGAGTTTTTACTTGAAAGATGGCGGCATGTCCGTCCCCGGTGGTGGAACGTTTCATCCCGTTTGAAATCCTCGCTACCCGCTCGAAGCTCTCCGTCTTTACCGTCGGACCCTTCCTTTATCCTCTCTGGTAACACAAAATTAAATTATTTTTTATATTTGTGTATTTCGAAAATTCCTGGTCTTAATCGTTTCTTCCGTAAAATTCGTTTCGCTCGCGATGGTTTCCTTTGTTTTGGCACGTTGATTCCTCTTTTCCACCCCTGTTCTAAGACAAGTATATAAGCGTCGAGTTTTAAACGAATAGTTACTTTGTTTATGACCTAGCAAATATCAATGTGCAAATAGTCGCAAAGGGACGTGTCTCCGTGTGATAATTTGACTAAAAGTAATTCGTTTCAATAGTCGAAATCTTTAGAAGTTCTGAGATTTTCGGAGGGACGTCGAAGGGAATATTTATCCACGGGAGGCGTGGAAACAAACTTTGATGCTCCGATTTTCGATGAAGTCTAATTTTACTGCTATTCGTGACGTACAATGTAAACTAACATTCTCCTTTCAAACACAAAAGCGGCAGGTTTGGATATCGTAATCGTCGATAAAGATTTTCGAGAAACCTCTCGAGTCTCGATCGCGAGCGAACCGGTCCACGATCTCGTCGTGGTTCGATTCTATCACGGGCGTCGAACGGCTTGTTTCGGATACGTCAATCTTTACATATAGCAGATTTCGTCACACGGAGAAACTCTGAGTCCTTCAAATCCCAATTAGAATTTCGAGTCGCCATAAATGATTAAATTGAAATCGACGGAGTAAAGAATGGCTACGGAAGCCTCTCGTCTCAGAAGGCTATGGAGGGATTTGCCTCCGCTTGGCAATCCTAATCCACACTGTTGTCCTTGACGCTCTTGATGGCATACGGGGGGCAATGGCGCTTTCAAATATTTGTTTAGCAACGGGGGTTGCAATTAAATTCGTGCGTTTATTTTTATGAGAATTATGGGTTAAAAAATTCGTGCTTAATCAGTGCAATATATGGTCAGCTTCAAACTACCCCTCCTCCGCCATATTGGTACTCCGTATTTCACGCTAAGGCGTCGGGCGACTGCGCAGAATCAGTATATCGCTGACCGCACAATGGAGCAGTCGCAACCTTTTCAGACGTCTAACCCAGCCGGGACTAACCTACTTACATACGACGAGTCGTACGTATCGCTATAAATTAACAATGTTCTATCGATAGCTGCTGGATAGTTGACGTTTAAAATAGATGATCGGTCGAAAGACTAAAATTGTTATTCGATACCTATGTTTGCTCGTACAAAGGAAAGGTTGTTTTCGATATTTAAAATGAATATAAGGTGCATAAAAATTAATTTTCAACGCACTACGATAATAATGGCCACGGTGATTTACAAAACTGGTTCACAAAGGGCTATTTAAGGGCTGTCCTCGAGTTTCATTCGTTCATACTGTGTTTAATTTTGTACTAAAATTGGTAATTATTTGTTATTCGATCGTGGGCCCGCGGAATCGAAAAATAAAAAATGTCTTCGTAGCAGTAAAGGGTGAATCGGCGAGATGGGCGTTTCGTTAGCGAGCGATTCGATCGGCGTTCCGGAAGGAGGAAACTTTTACCTGGATATCTGGTCGAGGAAATCTTCATTCTTGCGGGATAATTAGCACCCTCGGTGGACGAAAAGCGGCGGTGTCGTTACGCGCACGACGCACACACATACGTAGACACACGAGCGCACAGAGAGTCGCACGCTCGCGAGTGAAAGGTGGCCGATACCTTCTCGCAGTATGTATTTATCTTCTGCGTCGATCTTCGTTCCTCGTTCGGGGTAAATTATCGCAAGGAATTCTTTTACGATCGTTGCTCGACATTCGACGCTCGGTCTTAGCCGTTCACTTTCACTCGTGCGAACGCACCGACGCGGCATCGATGTCTCCCGTTTCGTTTCACGATCAATTCGGCCCACCACGGGCGTCTCGTATGAAATTCACGTTCGAGGCACGGTTCGAAATCCTCGTGGCCTTCCTTTCGGGGCTTCGACCCAATGGCGTGCCACTCACGGACAACTTAATAACAATATCTTAATTGGTCGTCTAGGAATACAGCCGGTTGCCCCTCCGATCGATTCGTTTTACTCGTTCGGGCACGAAACATTCGCTAAACGATCCGATATTTATACTGTCGGTCGTCAGTGGTCTTTCCTATCGTTTCGAAATATTTTTACAATTATTAAAAAATATTTTTCCAAGGACCAATTTTTTGCTCTTCGAGGTCCGTTCGATCGTAATAGATTTCAGGCTCGCTGGCCACCGCAGACCGTAATAACAAAATGACAGCAACAATCTGGATTAAAAAAAAAAAGAATTACCAAGCGATGTAACGTCGAGATTGGAAAAAATGCAGTTGCAATTTACTTCTTGCCAAGGCAAATGGTAACAGCTACCAGATTCAGGCGTTTCTGCGGAGTAATTCGTTCGTCGGGTTGAAAAAAAAAAGGACGCGGAATTTACAGCGTTATTAGGTATCGAAGTGCAGCAAGTGCATCAACGTCACTGGGCACTGCGGTAGGTGATACGATGGTTTTTCATCGTAGGGAGCTATAACGGACACCTCGGTCGGTCGTTTGGCTCACTGGTAGCATAGAGTCATTGTCCGGCATTTACGTGACGAATTTCCCGTGCTCGTCGTCTTCGCGAGTATCGTTCTGTCGTTCATGGCCACGCTATTCGCATTTTAAGAGCTTTCTAAGAAGCCTGGGCGAGCTAGCCGCTGGCGTCGATAAACTCTGCCTTTCAACTTTGTTGTTGAGCTCTCTTTCGACTCGAGTGGTTTTGTTTTACGCTAAAACCTTTGGGATCGGAGCTGCGGACACGACAGTTCGATTAAAGAAATCTTCAAACAACGGAACTTGTGCTTTTCTGACAGTGAGGGCCATTTAAAGTTGCCCGTTTGGACGTTCATTTTTAAATATGGAGAACAATGTGTAACTCTTATAGAAGAATCAAAATGAAGACTTTAAACTTTTATCGAACCATCGGGGGTTCTGGGAACACCATTTGGAATGAAATTTTAATACATTCAACGTTTAGGGTACATTGGTGCTTGGGGAGCATTATATTTAAAATGATCTAAATTCGAATGGATGTAAATTTATTTTAAAATGTGATATTCTCCGAAGAGGACAAAATGTCGAATAACGGATATTAAAATTTCATAGTAAACGAAGCTATTTCTATTACCGTAGAGCTCAATTTATTGCTAGGAAATTTTACTCTGAATATTGCTGGAAAAATCAATAGGCAGCGAGGGAGAATCAGCGAACAAATATACGAACTGTTAAATTTAAAACGCAGAAACGAACAGAGCATCGAAGGAAAACAAAATATTAGTTGGATCGTTTTCGGGGAGTTTTTTTTTTCTCGGATGAAATGAGAGAAGCTCGAAGCGTTCGAACAGTTTAAATCGTAGGTAGATGTCGATGGCGGTGAATCGCAGCTCGAGGAACAATACAGCAAGAAAAAAAGTGTTTAGTTTTACAGTTAGCGAAAGCTCGTTGAAATTCTAGACGCTGTCGGCTCACACGTGCTTCGATTACTCCTTCTGCGTCCCACGAAGCTCGCTCGTGATTTTGCGCCAAGTCTTCGGTCAATTCTTCGCGTTGCGCTCGGGGCGGCGATTATATTTGAATGAAATATCAATTTCGAACGGTAAACACGTCAACAATTAGCTTTCCGTGTCCGTGGAATACAAACTTGGAATATTAAAGGGCCCCATAAAATATCGTCCATTTTGAATCACTAATTCATATAGCATTTCAAGCATTTTATGACATTGCTTAAAAAGCAGTTACGTTTCTCTGAGAGTTTTGTTAAAATTTTTGCGGAACATAATATCGGAAGAAAATATATCTCGACGGAAATTTGAAATTTAAAATAGAAGTAAATCAGGTTTGAGTTAGTTTCGTCCCCGATGGCATGAAAGGACCAGACATAGGAAATATGTTTTACATTGCTAAAATGTGTACTCTTTTATTTGTGAACATTAACGTATGAATTGCACTATATATATCGCACTCTGATATGCAATCCGCAAAGCAATGTATAGGGTGAGTCACGCAATTTGATCTGGTCATATCTCTTATGATTGACAATAGAAGCAAGTGGTACAGGAAGAAGCTGAACTGTTTAATAATGTCTAACTTCCTATGACGTTACTTTTTCAGCAAGCGCGACGATGAGTGACTGCATGAACTCAACCCATTGTCTGTATTCGAAGCAATCGCATTTCGTATCGTAAACTAATTTTTCACGCTATGTTTAACTCAAAATAAATAACTGCCCTGCTTTCGAGTACAATTGAAATTAATTCGTTTGATTTGTTTTTAATTGGGAAATCCTCGCAATTCCATCGTTAATACGCAATTTCTAAAGCTGTAAAATATATAACGTATCAAAATCCAACTCTGGTCGCATTCGATCGCCTCGTTAGGCGTTCATACATAAATCTATACCTACTCCGGATAAAGATATCGCCACCTCCGCTTTCAAGCTCACCGGACGACCTCGATTTTGCAGCTCGAAAGCAGGAATTACCGTATCAAACGAGCGAATAGCTACGGCTCGACGTCTTTACGAATGTACCGTTGCGACGCAACGACGTCCATCGATCGATCGATCGCATACATCAAAGTTTCCATCATTGACCGAAACCGCGCTATCCTGGACAGGATTCCAAAGCTGCCACGCGCGTCTGAGCATAGCCAAGCTGCTCGCGTCGCGTCCTTTCGCAGGCACACGATCAATCGATAGCCAGGAATGCTCGAACCGAAGTTGTATCTAGCCTTGAAAACTTTGGGAAAACAATACATGCTCGAGAATGCACAGTAATGTCCTTCGAGTCGTCGCTCGATCGAGTCCTGGCCGCAGCAGCTCGAAGGACGAGTGAGGAAGCATTAATCG